TACTACTACTACTACTACTACTACTACTACTATTACTGCTACTGCTACTGCTACTGCTACTGCTACTGCTACTACTACTACTACTACTACTACTACTACTACTACTACGACTACCACTACTTCTACTGCAACGACTACGAAAACTACTGCTACGACTACTACTAATAATGTTCCAGCGCCATGCTGCTCTTCACGAACCTGCCACGACGGCTACTATGCATGACTGCACTACGCATTGAACGATTGATGCTACAACGATGCCTACAACTGCTGCCGCTACTACTGCGAGTATAAATGCGACAACGACGACAACTCCGAGACGACGATGCCTACGGCTTGCGGTTACGTGCTCAGAGTACTACCTCCGCAGCTTCCTCTTCCTACCACCTCCCTTCCGCCCTCCCTCCGCCCCTCTTGAGCCGAAACGCTTCACCCGTCCATCTTCCATCCTCCTTTGCTCATGTTGCCGACGTGCAAAGGTACAAATACATTGTTGTGTGCATATGTTTATACATGTATATATGCGTACATACATATATACTCATATATGTGTGTATGCTCAGAATCTCCCTCGTTGCTGCTCTTCCCACCCCCCACGCCCTCCTCTTCTCCCGCCGCCCTCCTCCTACTCCTGCTCCTCATACTGTAAACTTGCCACTCGGCAAAAAACATCGGGTTTGCACTTCCTTGACTGCCCCTCTTCCAAGTCACATGAGCAAGCTAAGACAATGATACCAGGCGGTGTATATCTGGGGCGGACAATCGCATGGTGATGGGTGATAACAGTGTTCCCCTCCATCCCGCAGACGACAACTCAGTCCGCCTGTTAGCGCACACGCCAACAGTAGCCGACGACGTCGCCGTTCGTCGCTCATCGCCAACGTCGTTAGTCGCCGCCGCCGCCGTCGTCGTCGCCGTTCCCGTCGTCGCCGTCGCCGTCGTCCTGGCATTGTCTATCCGTCCCCCCATCTCCTCGCTCCGCCCCCGCGGCCTAGATCTCCGAGGCCCTGGCTCGCGAGCACAGACGACCGTCTGCCTCGGGCTGGCGACGCGGGGAAGGGAACCACACACAGAGGAGCCGAGCTGCCCACGTGCTGGAACAACGAACGGAGGGGAGAGAGGTCAGGAGGGGGATGCAACGCGGCGAGAGCAAGCGAGAGCGAGAGATAGACTCGGTCAAGGAAGAGAGGGAGAGCGACAGAGCGAGAGGATCACACTCACGCGCACACACACACACACACTAGTGTGCCTCCACCGGTGATGTGCCGACACAATCGCGCGACACGATATGCGTCAAAAATGGAAGGCTGGACCGCAATGGGGCCACCGTGCAGGGACGTGGAGAGAAGCACATTCACACAGAGCAAAGCGCAACAATGCAAACGAAGCGGCCCATAGCGTAGGACGCACACACACAAACAACATGGGTTGCGTCATTAACGGGTTGCGCTCATCGGCTGCACCATAAGATGCGCCAAGGGTGTGCGATCCATGGGTTGCGCCATTGCGCACGCAAACTGTGCCATCCATGGGCTGCCCCATTGGGTGCGCTATCCACGGATTGCGCCGTAGGTTGCGCGATCCATGGATTGCGCAATCCACGTGCGCCATGGGTTGCGCAATTACTTCCGACATCAATAGGTTGCGCTATAAGTTGAGTCATGGGTTGCGTCATGAGTTGAGCAAGCCATGGGTTGCGCCGTTGCGCCATGGGTTGCACTATCAACGGATTGCGCAATAGCTTGTTCGATCAACACGTTGCGTCGTCCATGGGCTGCGCCATGAGATTCGCCACTAATTGCGCCATCAATGGGTTGCGATACAGATTGCGTTAAGAAGGGCTGTGCGATCTATGGATCGCTCCGTTGCGCCATGGGGTGCGCGATCCAAGGATTTCGCCATTGCTTGCGCTATCCACGGGTTGCGCCAGAACTTGCGAGATCCAATGCACGATCGGCCCGCTATGCGTTGCGCCATAGATTGCGCAATCGGCCACCGATATATATATATATATATATATATATATATGGAGAGAGAGAGAGAGAGAGAGAAAGAAAGAAAGGTAGCGCCCTCGGCGGCCAATGAAAACACAAGCTGCGAGTGGTTGCGCCATTGGTAGCGCACGCGGGCGGCCGAAACAACAAAAGCCTGCTATTGGTTGAGCTATCGGCAGACGGAGGAGGATGACGAGGCGGAGGCGGAGGAGGAGGCGGAGGAGGAGGAGGAGCGAGGAGGAAGAGGGAGGAGGAGGAGGAGGAGGAGGAGGAGGAGGAGGAGGAGGAGGAGGAGGGATGATGAAGGGAGGAGGAGGAGGGAGGAGGGAGGGGGAGGAAGGAATAAGGAGGCCTGCCATTGGTTGGGTCATTGGCTGCGCACTCGGCGGCCGACAAGAAAACAGCCTGCAATGGCTTGCGCCGCAAGGTGCGCACTCCTCTGGCAGACGATCCAGCGGCCGTCGAGTGGCTGCGCCACAGGTACTGCGCTCGGCGGCCGATCCAACAACTGTCTGCTAGTGGCTGCGCCATTGGTTGTGCACTCGAGCGGCCGCAACTACAACGGCCTGCTGTTGGTTGCGCTACCGACGGCCGAGAATGGAGAGGCCTGCTATTGTGTGCGCAATAGGTTGCGCACTCGAATACCAAGAAGAAAGCGACATGCCATGGGTTGCGCCATAAGTTGCGCACTCTCTGGCCAACGACCAAGCGGCCACCTTTTGGTTGCGCCGTAGGTCCGCCGATCCCCACTTGCCAGGGGTGCAAAGGCGTGTGAGATGATTGGCTGCCCCCCCCCATCCCCCTCTCGTAGGGTTTGAAATCTGATTAGAGGGGGGGTGGGGGTCCAGGGGAAGGGGTCCCCGAGCTCCTAACGCTACCCTGGGGCCCCTGGAGCCTAGATGTCTACACTTCGTGGCCCCCAAGATGCCATATAATCGATCTACGCTTGCTCAAGCAGGGTCACAACACGCACAGGAGTCCTCGAAAACGACCAAGACAGCCTCAAGACTGCCCAATAGGCCTCAAAGACGCCCCCAGCGGGCTCCAAGACGTGATACGAGAGGGCCCCAAGAAGCAAGCCTCCTCAAAAATTCATAGGGGAAACGTATAATTTGAACAGATTCGCATCTTTGGTGTCGACAGCATCCAGGACGGCTCAAGAGGCGCCCATGATCCCTCCAAGACAGCCCAAGACGCCCCCCAGATAGCCCCAACACGGCCGAAGAGGGTCCCAAGACGGCCCAAGAGGTGCCGAACATAAGATCTGCCACCGTCCCTCTGGCACGAAGTAAAAAAGCCCCGAGGCTCATGCAGTGCTGCTGCAGCCAGCCGTTTCCCAGGCCGTCTTGGACCGTCTTGCGGTTTCTGGGTCTGGCCCCCGTGGGTTCTGGGGTGCTTCCAGCATGTCCTCTGGACGCTGTGACCGCCCAGAACGGTCGACGAGAGCCCCGATTTGCCGAAACATCGCTCAAAGATGCTGTCAATGGTCTCCCCATGGCCCAAGACGCCTCCAAGACGCCCAAAGAGGCCTCTAAGAGGCCTCACCAGACGGCCCCAAGAGGCCAACACCATGTTGAAGGATTTTGGCGTTCTCGCCTTTTCGGCTTCCCGAAGCCCCCCCGACAGCCCTAGACACCCCCAAGACCGCCCCAAGACGGCCCAAAAGGCCTCCAAGAGGGCCCCAAAACGGCCCAAGAGGGTCCCCAAGAGGCGCCCAAACTACCTCCAAGAGGCCCCCGAGAAGCCTCCCACGAGATTCCGAAGAACATCCGATGGGCTTCATACGTACAAACCAGGCACGGTGGCGGCATGGGCCGGAGGGCAATTAGATAGCCCAAGAGAGGCACAACAGCGCCGCAAGAGGGGCCCAAGAGAGGCAACTCGAAGCGACATTCCGAGCCCTTCGCCCCTAAGAGGACCCAAAAGATCGCCAGCAGGCGCCCGGGAAGCTCCCAGGCGGCTCCACGAGGCATCCACGAGGCCCAAACGAGGCCCACACAAGGCCCCCAGAGATTCCACAAAAGCATCACCCGTGGACGTCATCCCTGTGCTGGGGGTCGCCGGGATGGTGTGAGCCTTTCGAGTAACGAACTCGGCGGTCGATCCAACCACTGCCTGCGAGTAGTTGCGCCATGAGTTGCGCACTCGGCGGCCAAGAATAACACGGCCTGTTACTGATGCATCGTATAGGATGTGCGTTCAGCGGCCGATAAGACAACTGCCTGCCATGGGTTGCACCATCGATTGCGCACTGAGCTGCATTGCCTCACACATAGTCAGGCCTGCTTTTTGATTGCACCATAGGTTGCGCACCCTCTGGCCACCTTGCCTGCTCGTGCTGGCGCCGTGTCCGTGGCGCACTCCGCGGCCGAGCATGAGCTAGCCTGATCGTGGTTGCCCCGTAGACGTCGCACTCTGCTGGCGAATCGGGCCTGCCACTGGCTGCGCCATCGACTGCCTGGGGAACTCTTGGGGGCCTCTTGGAGCCTCTCAGGGGCCTCTTGAGTGCCTCTTGGGGCCTCCTGGGGGCCTCTCGGGGCGGAGGGCTCGAAATGTCAGTTTGGTTTCCCTGTGTGGGCACCCTCTTGGAGCCCTCTTATTTTTTGTTATAACTGACCAGGCCGAACTGACTGGTCAAATGTCACGTGGTCAGCACTTTTGGCGTCCCTACTCAGCGCACTGGTGCCGGGCTGGATGCAGCGCAACCGTGTGCCTGGGCGTTTGCCGCCAGAGCACTCGGGCGCGAGACATTATCTTCCGAGCGCTGCACCGTAGTAGATGTGGGTACATCTAAAATTGGACCAACACCTACTCCACTAGACAGCACCGCGCGTCACACAACCGCAGCCCTGTGGCGCGCGACGCCTATCCGGAGTTCCAGCCGTCGGGATGCACAATGCATAGCAGGCTGTTGAAGCAGAGGCACAATCTGGCTATAGGCCGCTCGCGTCCTTCTTGCAAAGGTGGCCTCGCTGCGAAGACGCCTACCGCCCTTCACGGGCAGTCCCCGCACGAGCCGACACCGCAGAACTTGCACTCGTTTGTCTTGCCGTCCGCCTTGCAGCAGAGCCCCCCGTTCACACAGTCCGGCTCCCAGTAGCACAAAATGTCTGGGTTCCCGCAGGTGCCCGCTGGCGTTGTCGTGCAGCCGAGCGTGTTCGGCGGCAGCGGCGTTGGCGCTGGTGTTGGCGATGGCGTTGGCGATGGTGGCGATGGCGTTGGTGGCGATGGTGTCGGACTGGGCCCACTGCAACCAGGGGTCCCTGGGTGCTTGCCAGCGCAGCACCCTGCCATGTGGTCTTCGCGGCAGTAGGTGCACTGCTCTCCAGAGCAGCCCCTGCAGGCCTGGTCGAGGCAGCAATCCTTCTGCTTCTCGTCCATGCAGAGCTGACACTGCTCGCCGCTGCAGCCCTGGCATCCAGACGTGTCGCAAGCTGGTGGCGATGGTGTCGGACTGGGCCCACTGCAACCAGGGGTGCCCGGGTGCTTGCCAGCGCAGCACCCTGCCATGTGGTCTTCGCGGCAGTAGGTGCACTGCTCTCCAGAGCAGCCCCTGCAGGCCTGGTCGAGGCAGCAATCCTTTTGCTTCTCGTCCACGCAGAGCTGACACTGCTCGCCACTGCAGCCCTGGCATCCAGACGTGTCGCAAGCTGGTGGCGATGGTGTCGGACTGGGCCCACTGCAACCAGGGGTGCCTGGATGCTTGCCAGCGCAACACCCTGCCATGTGGTCTTCGCGGCAGTAGGTGCACTGCTCTCCAGAACAGCCCCTGCAGAACTGGTCCAGGCAGCATTCCTTCGCCTTGTCGTCACGGCAGAGCTGGCACTGCTCGCCGCTGCAGCCCTGGCATCCAGACATGTCGCAGGAACTCGACTGCGCAATCGCCTGCCGCGAAGACTGCTGGAGCAACGCCGCCTCCTCCTCCTCACCCCCAGCGCAGGCGGCGTCCGCGCCCGGGCACGCGCCCTCCACCGCGGTGAACAGCAGCAGCAGCAGCGCGGCGATGCACCGCGGGACCCGCCCCGCCATGCCACCCGACGCGCAGCGACGCCGAGGCGCTACCGGAGAAGAATCGGCCTCCGCGGGCCTGGGTTCGCGGGGTGCGCTCGGGTTTGTCTTCGGCCTCGAGCCAGCAAATAATGGCTGCTTGAGCCAAAGTGGCTGCGGAACCCTCTTGGAGCCTTCTTGGTAGGGGAACTAAAGTGACATAAACATAACAACTCAGAGGTCCGCGCGGACCTCCGAGTTGATATGTTTATGTCACTTTTTGTTCCTCTACTTGGGGGCCTCCCTGGGGCCTCTTGGGCCGCCTTGCAGGCGCGCTCGGCGGCCGGCAGCGAAACAGCCAGCCGCGCTGTACGCCGAACGGTCGGTGGCCGCACCCGACGCGGCCACCTGAGGGGCGCCACCAGTCCGCCCGCCAGACAGTCCGCTCCACCTCGCGACGAACACCGTTTTCCGGCGGCGGGCGAGGGGGGGAAGTGAGAAGGGGCTGATGGGCCTGTTTTCAACCTCCACCACCATAAGCTGGAGGGGGGGAGGAGGAGGAGGAGGAGGAGGAGGAGGAGGAGGAGGAGGAGGAGAAGGAGGACGACGACGAGGACGAGGAGGAGGACGAGGAGAGGGAGGTGGTGGTGGTGGTACTCAGCATCTGGTCGAGTCTGCAATGATAATCCAATTACAAGTGACAACTGTGCGCATCAAGAGGGCAGGCCCCCTCTCGCGAAATTTGAAAGTCGGCACTCCCGTCGCGACTAAATTTCTAATCTGGGAACACCATAGAAACCGTTAGGGCCGAGAAGCCTAACGAAAACATCCCGAACAGTGCCCCAAGGCACCAGATCCCGAGAGTGAGAAGTCAAGCGTCTCAACTCGCACATGCACACACACAAGCACAACACAGGAGCGGGGGGAGAGGGAAGGAGAGACACACAAGGAAACACCACCACGGGAGGAAAGGAGGCAAGAGGGAACAGGAAGGCGGAGGCCGGCGAGAAACATCACATTTAATTACCCTGGCGACGTACCCAACCCCTGCGCAAGCGCGGGGCGCAAATAGTTTAGGACACTTTATAAGGGGGGCGATGACGGAGCGAAGGTTACATATGCCTGCAGACGGAATTCGGGAGACTCGCAGGACACTGGCTTCAGGACAAGGACTAGATAAAGTGGATTAGTTGCAATCCCTGAGCAACCCTAGCCACTTCGAATGCGGGGATATCAGATCGCACCCCCCCAGGGATGGCGAGGTCTGATTTGGGTCCGCCCGTGGCGTCACTGTGCTGGGCCCCCCAGCGGGCCTCGAAAGTGGCGACAGTTTCACAGTTCGCAGCCCTCCAGGGATGGCGAAGTCTAATTTGGGTCCGCCCGTGGCGTCACTGTGCTGGGCCCCCCCAGCAGGCCGCGAAAGTGACGACAGTTTCACAGATCGCAACCCCCCAGGGATGGCGAGGTCTAACTTGGGTCTGCCCGTGGCCCTCGCTGTGCTGGCCCCCCCAGCAGGCCTCGAAAATGGCGTCAGTTTCACAGATCGCAGCCCCCCAGGGATGGCGAGGTCTAGTTTGGGTCCGCGCGTCGCCGTCACTGTGCTGGGCCCCCCAGCAGGCCTCGAAAATGGCGACAGCTTCACAGATCGCAGCCCCCCAGGGATGGCGAGGTCTAATTTAAAACTGCGCGTCGCCCTCACTGTGCTGGCCCCCCCAGCAGGCCTCGAAAATGGCGACAGCTTCACAGATCGCAGCCCCCCAGGGATGGCGAGGTCTAATTTTGAATCCGCGCGTCGCCCTCACTGTGCTGGGCCCCCCAGCAGGCCTCGAAAATGGCGACAGCTTCACAGATCGCAGCCCCCCAGGGATGGCGAGGTATAATTTGAATCCGCGCGTCGCCTTCACTGCGCTGGGCACCCAGCAGGCCTCGAACGTGGCGACAGTTTCACAGATCGCAACCCCCCAGGGATGGCGAGGTCTAATTTAAATCCGCGCGTGGCCCTCACTGTGCTGGGCCCCCCAGCAGGCCTTGAAAATGGCGACAGTTTCACAGATCGCAGCCCCCCAGGGACGGCGAGGTCTAATTTGAATCCGTCCGTGGCCCTCGCTGTGCTGGCCCCCCCAGCAGGCCTCGAAAATGGCGTCAGTTTCACAGATCGCAGCCCCCCAAGGATGGCGAGGTCTAGTTTGGGTCCGCGCGTCGCCGTCACTGTGCTGGGCCCCCCAGCAGGCATCGAAAATGGCAACAGTTTCACAGATCGCAGCCCCCCAGGGATGGCGAGGTCTAATTAGAATCCGCGCGTGGCCCTTACTGTGCTTGGCCCCCCAACAGGCCTCGAAAATGGCGACAGTTTCACAGATCGCAGCCCCCCAGGGATGGCGAGGTATAATTTGAATCCGCGCGTGGCCCTCACTGTGCTGGGGCCCCCAGCAGGCCTCGAAAATGGCGACAGCTTCACAGATCGCAGCCTCCCAGGGACGGCGAGGTCTAATTTGAATCCGCGCGTGGCCCTCACGTTGCTGGGCCCCCCAGCAAGCCTAGAAAATGGCGTCAGTTTCTTAGATCGCAGCCCCCCAGGGATGGCGAGGTCTGGTTTGAAGCCGCGCGTGGCCCTCGCTGTGCTGGGCCCCCCCCAGCAGGCCCCGAAAATGGCGACAGTTTCACAGATCGCAGCCCCCCGCAGGCTAGACAGGAAGAGGCAGGGAGGGAGGGAGGGAGGAGGAAGGAAGGAGTGGAGACCACACTGCTCTATTCAAAACGAATACCCAACCAAGGAGGGTTGGGAATTAGCCAGGCGAAGGACCCAACCATATGCAGCTGCGAGTGCCGCGCGGATATGGGGCGAAGCGGGGGCCACGCAAACTAGGCCCCCCTTCTCATAGGCACCGCGCCACTGGGGCCTTCGGTGGAACTCCCTATGGGGCCACGAAACGTGTGAGGGGTGTGCCGAAATGGGTGGCGGGGAGGCATGCGAACCCTGCCGCTGGGGCCTTCGGTGGAGATCCCTACGGGGCCACGAAACGTGTGAGGGGTGTGCCGAAATGGGTGATGGGGAGGCATGCGAACCCTGCCACTGGAACCTTCGGTGGAGCTCCCTATGGGGCCACGAAGCGTGTGAGGGGTGTGCCGAAATGGGTTGTGGGGGAGCATGCGGACCCTGCCACTGGGGCCTTCGGTGGAGCTCCCTATGGGGCCGCGAAACGTGTGAGGGGTGTGCCGAAATGGGTGGTGGGGAGGCATGCGAACCCTGCCACTGGGGCCTTCGGTGGAGCTCCCTATGGGGCCACGAAACGTGTGAGGGGTGTGCCGAAATGAGTAGTGGGGAGGCATGCGAACCCTGCCACTGGGGCCTTCGGTGGAGCTCCCCATGGGGCCACGAAACATGTGATAGGTATGCCGAAATATGTGGTGGGGAGGCATGCGAACCCTGCCAATGTGGCCTTCGGTGGAGCTCCCTATGGGGCCACGAAACGTGTGGGGGGTGTGCCGAAATGTGTGGTGGGGGGGGCATGCGAACCCTGCGACTGGGGCCTTCGGTGGAGCTCCCATATGGAGCCACGAAACGTGTGAGGGGTGTGCTGAATTGGGTGTGGGTGACGCATGCGGGCGGCAGCACTGGTGTCTTCGGCGGAGCTTCTACTATGGGGTCACGAAACGTGTGAGGGGTGTGCCGAATTGTGTGTGGGTGACGCATGCAGGCGGCAGCACTGGGGCCTTCGGCGGAGCTCCTATGGGGCCACGAAGCGTGTGAGGGGTGTGCCGAATTGGATGTGGGTGACGCATGCGGGCGGCAACACTGGGGCCTTCGGTGGAGTTCCCTATGGAGCCACGAGGCGTGTGAGGGGTGTGCCGAAATGGGTGTGGGTGGCGCATGCGGGCGCGGGCACTGGGGCCTTCGGTGGAGCTCCCTATGGAGCCACGAAACGTGTGAGGGGTGTGCCGAAATGGGTGTGGGTGACGCATGCGGGCGCGGGCACTGGGGCCTTCGGTGGAGCTCCCTATGGAGCCACGAAACGTGTGAGGGGTGTGCCGAAATGGGTGTGGGTGACGCATGCGGGCGCGGGTACTGGGGCCTTCGGTGGAGCTCCCTATGGAGCCACGAAACGTGTGAGGGGTGTGCCGAAATGGGTGTGGGTGACGCATGCGGGCGCGTGCTCTGGGGCCTTCGGTGGAGCTCCCTATGGGCCACGAAACGTGTGAGGGGTGTGCCGAAATGGGTGTGGGTGACGCATGCGGGCGCGGGCACTGGGGCCTTCGGTGGAGCTCCCTATGGAGCCACGAACGTGTGAGGGGTGTGCCGAAATGAGTGTGGGTGACGCATGCGGGCGCGGGCACTGGGGCCTTCGGTGGAGCTCCCTATGGAGCCACGAAACGTGTGAGGGGTGTGCCGAAATGGGTGTGGGTGACGCATGCGGGCGCGGGCACTGGGGCCTTCGGTGGAGCTCCCTATGGAGCCACGAAACGGTGTACTGGGTGGGTGAAGAGGAGAGGAGGAGAGGGGAGGAGAGTAGGAGAGGAGAGGAGAGGAGAGGAAAGGAGAGGAGAGGAGAGGAGGGGAGAGGAGAGGAGAGGAGAGTAGAGGAACGCGGGGTACCGTCTCTTCAAAACGAGGACCCATCACCACATGATGGTTGGGGAAATTATCCGGGCGAAGGACCCAACCATATGCAATTGTGAATACTGCAATTGTGAATATCTTCTCGGTGGAGCCCCCTACGGGGCCACGAAACGTACGAGGGGTGTGCCGAAATGCGTGTGCGGGACGCATGCGGGCACGCCCACTGGGGCCTTCGGTGGAGCTCTCGATGGGGCCAAGAAACGTGCGAGGGGTGTGCCGAAATGGGTGTGCGGGACGCATGCGGGCACACCCACTGGGACCTTCGGCGGAGCTCCCTATGGGGCCACGGAACGCGTGAGGGGCGTGCCGAAATGGGTGTGGCTGACGCATGCGGGCGCGGGCACTGGGGCTTTCGGCTGAGCTCCCTATGGGGCCGCGAAACGTGTGAGGGGTGTGCCGAAATGTGTGTGGCTGATGCATGCGG